AGCTGTCCAACAGTCCAAAAATTCTTGAAAGACCCAAAATTTTGCAAGAAGGCGCAAAGTGGGCGCGGTTAAGGGGTTGGAGCTGGAGTGCTGACAATGAGTATGGACAAAGTCAGACCTCTGATGTGACCGAAGGCCGCAAGCGTATGGTAATCGGAGATGCGGGTTCGAGTCCCGTTTGAGATCTGACTTTTGCCCATAACTGAGCACTCTTCTGATGACTTCGGAGCGCGCAGCGCGGCGTTAAACAGCACAGTTACCAAACTGAAACGAATATTTGAAGGCAGTTGGCACGATAATATGGTACTCGGCCTAAACTGCTAGCAGGGCGCTATATAAAAGGAAAATGGCGAAAAAACGAAGTGAAACGGTCGAAAACTGCGAGGAAAAGCCTTCGCTTAAAAAGCAATTTCGGAAAAAAGCAATTTTCCATAAGCACCCTGCCAACAACCGCTACGGTGAGTACGGCTGCATGTATGTACACTCGAAATCCCGAGATCGGGTAGGCGTGGCTGCGTACTTGATTTTAAAAGGCGGCGGCCCAGGTTTTCGTGAGATATTGTCATTTTGGAGCAGTCGTAATCATGTCTACATCTAACACAGAACAAGATAGCAGTTGTTTCAAATTGAAGTATCCCACGAGAAACCCGTCCTATGCCATGCTCAAAAGCCACGCCTACTCCGTCTCAGGGATAAGGAGTGTATTTGCGACGGTACATGAGAGTAATCAACCGCGCCAACATAAAAAAACATTATGTATATTCAAGTATATTCAACCGTAAGATTACGTTAATCTTAGAGTCGAAGCAGTTTCAACAGAAGGTTCTCAACTTACTGGGAGTAAGTGATAGGCATGCCTATCCGTCCACGATGTACTTCATTTAGAACCCTCAGCTCTCGAAGGAATCGAGCAAACCGGTTAGAGTCATAGCCATTAGAGAAGGCCATACCAAAATGGGCAGCCTAAACAAAGAAAGGTAGGTAGCCATGTGCATTTTTCAAGTAGACAGTATAAGACCTTTAATAAAGCCTTCTGTAGTTCCGGGGACCACGCTGATGACGCCGTGGAGATGCACTGCTCAATAGCCAGCGATAGATCACGAATCTAAACTATAGGGGATTAAAATTGGTGACAATTCTAGAGAATGAAAGGGAACCTGATCAGCAATGTACACCTCACCTGCATAGCGTACTCGTATGACTGATGGCTTTTGTTGGTGTTCAGCCATTGTGCCGCTTCGTACAGTAAAGCACCATCTGAAGCCGATGCTACTCCCAGAACAGCGCGCTCATCACCTGCAAATCTGAAAATAAGGGCGCGTCTTACCTTGCGACTGAGGAGATTCGGCGTCTGGGGAGTTCGGCGATCTGGATGATTCGGGGATTCAAGAGACTGCCCGACGAGAAAAGTATAAATATCGAGTGCGAGAATCGGCGATCCGGCGTTTTGGCTGACTTGGGGTTCCGTGCGATCGCGCGCTAAGGAGGGGATGGGTATCGATCCACGCCGGATCGCAATTCTTCCTAATCGCCAGATCGATAAATATACTTCCCTTGTCGCGCGATTTCTCGAATCGCCGAATTCCTCAGTAGCAAAGGAGGAACGCAGCCCCGAACAGCGCAGCGTCCAGCTCTTTAGAAAAAAGCAGGAATCCGA